CTTTGCCGCTGAGCTAAATCCCCAGCCCCCTTTTTTTCTTTCATTTGTAGTACTGGGGATGGAACCCAGGACTTTGCCATGTTACGCAAGGACTCTGTGCAACATCACCAGCACTTTAACCAATTTTTAAAAAGACAGCTTCTTATTAAATTCTTTAGGCTGCCTTGCCCTGAGCTTGCAGTCCTGCCCACTCTCCTGAGTAACTGGGATCATAGGTTTGTACCGCCACAGCCAGCTGGCTATGTCATGTTCTAACAAAATGTTAAATTTCTACATCAGTAAAGAAAGTGGATGACTATTCAAAAGGCTACTGAGAGAACCCTTTGGCCTACACCGCCGTAACTGTTTCAAAGTGCAAATTTATATTAGCTTTAGGTTTGCACAACAGGACCTCTCATATACCACTCCATGTAACTTAGAACAAACTGTAAGGAAAGGTCATCTTTCAGAATCTACAGAGTACGCCTTTTCCTGCTTTGCTTTTGATTTGTTACGTGTCTGGGATGCAGGAGCTCCCTAATGTTTTTACTGACTTATAAGGGTTAGAGGCTTCATGATTTCAAGAGCTTTCTAAAACTGGCAGGAAGCCTAGAGGAATGGAGATGATGATGGACTGAAGACCATGGCTGTTACTATTTTTAACTGGGTTTTCAGTTTAAGTACACCAGCCTCTCCAAGTTAACATATATATTAACCATGTGAAAGGTGAAGTTACAGAAATACTCAAGCTAAACAGGGAAATATGTTTGATGTGTAGAACAGGCTAAATAGGGTTAATCTGTACAGCATTTTATACCTCAAAACACATCACACAGCCAGGCGTGGTGGCGCATGCCTGTAATCCCAGCACTCGGGAGGCTGAGGCAGGAGTATCGTTGCGAGTTCAAGACCAGCCTGGGCTACAAAGTGTGCTCAAGGCCAGACTGAACTGCATAGTGAGACCCTGTCTCAAAAAAGGCAAAACAAACAAACAAACAAAAAAACAAAAAACAAACAAACAAAAACCACATCACACATTATCTAATATGATCTTCCAAACACCTAATTTACAAAAAGTGAGAATGCATACTTATAGATGAGGAAATAGACTTGTTAGAACAGTAAGACAGGACTAGGACATAGCTCAGTGGTAGAATCTTTGCCTAACATGCGTGAGGTCCTGGGTTTCCATCTCTATTGCATCTTTTTTCCTGGTCCTGAGGACTGAACCTAAGACCTGAAAACTGAGCTATGCCCCGCCCCCTCATTTTGAAACATGATTTTGCTAAGTCACTAAGTTGCTCAGGGTGGGCTTGAACTTTTGATACCCCTGGCTCAGCCTGATAGTGATAGGATTAGAGGCGTGCCACCACTTCTGGCTCCCAGCACCTCACAAAATAAAATAAGCATTGGGCTTCTGCCTTCAAATCCCGGTGTTTGTTTGTTTGTCTGTTTGTTTTTTGACTGGAGGTGGGGTGGGGTGGGGTGGGTCTCACTATGCAGCCTCGGCTGGCCTGGAACTTGCATCAAACCTCCTGTCTCAGCTTCCAGCTGAGATTATAGGTGGGCACCACCACACCTAGCTGCAGTGCTTTTTCCTGAAATAGAAAACTGGCTTCAATTCTAGTTTTGCTAAGTGACACAGCTATAGGAAAGAAAAATATGCAGAAGAAATCTATGTGATAGTCAGGCGTGGTAGCGCACTACTATAATCCCAGCACCTGGGAGGCTGAGGCAGGAGGATTACCAAAATTCAAGGCTATCCTGAACTGCACAGTGCAGACTGTCTCAAACAAAACAAAACAGAGAAATTTGTGTTTGAGTATCAAATGTAGGCCAGGGACATAGCTCAGCAGCACAAGTGCCTGCCTGGTAAGCATAATGTCCTGAGTTCAATTTCTGGTACCAAAAAAAAGTCAAATGTGATTTTTTAAAAAAAGGAGTTCAGAATTTTTCCTCAACTCAAGCAGATATAGTATTTA